AAGTAAGTCTGGGGATATAAAGTTAACTGTTGGCCAAAATGAGGAGTCACCTCTGACAGTAATGCAGGGCAAGGTACTGTGTGTTCAGTCAGTGCTGAGGCATCGGTCTGAAGTGCCTCTGGGAACTTGAAAACTGGGCCACCTGTTGGGGAATTTGAACTGGACCCTTTACAGTGACAGAACTTTTCAGCATAGCCAAGAGTAAGAAATGGCAGCAGAACGGTCACGCAGGGGTTGCTGACTTACTTTTGGTATTACTGAGTATCTCTGCTCCATATAAAGACTATTTCTGCATGAAGTTGGCAGGAGGTAGAACTCGCTGCCTCCCTTACTCCCTGCCTCAGCAAGCCCTTCTGCCATGTACAAAGGGCCGCAAGAGGAGGACTACTGTTCTCTCTCCCATCTTCCATCTGAAGAAGGATATGGCGCTAATTTGTCCATTTGTGCACACGGGAGCAACTCTAGTGAAAGCCACTGATGGCACACCCTTCCCAAGATAAACAAGTCCACATTATGCCTTCCGTACCTGATAGTGTTTAGAAATTGTAAAGATAGTTGTTTAGGAAACATGAGCTAAGAAAGGAGCTGGAAAATGACGCTTCCTCCAACAGGGCATCTGTCATACTGAGAGAGTTTTTGATGTAACTTTTATGTTTTGTGGCAGAGCTTAAACTTAAAAGTCAGGTTTTTTTGTAAGCCATGCTCCATCATGTAGGTGATTGTGCTGAAACATATAAAAGAAAAATAACTAGCTTTTGTACTCTGCTGGGTCCTTAAGAAAGTGAGAAATTTGCATCTACTGAGGGTTATGAGGAATATAAATGCTCCTTTAATAAAAAGATAATCCTAAAGAAATAGGGTGCTTTTGGGGCCATAGCATATATAAGCACATATCATGTTTCTGAGCCCCTTGCAGTCTTACTTGAACATATCCCATGCTATTGTTAGGTGCGAGTCCATTAAAACAGCATATATTATACAGTGCGGAAGAAGATGAGTGTGTCAGCTGGAAAATACTGGTATTTAAGGCACTACCTGGTAATATATATTTTTATTACAGTGTATGTTATTGCTGTATGTAGGACATCAGACACTCATCTTGGCTTTTTCATAATTCCTCCCAGGCTTTCAAATCACAAACCCAACTTCTTAGTAGATTTTCTCTCCACAATGGTATCTTAGAGAGCACTAGCTTTGAGCCTGAACCAAGAAAGCCACTTTCGTAGCAGGTGACTGCTCCCAGAACTTCATAGCAGTGACTTAGTCGGCCCAAATGGCCCTAAACTTTTAACAGAGCCATTCCTCAATTTTCATGAAGTCAAGCATGGCTTGCAAAGCTCTATATGGAATACCATGTTAAAGCTGTTACAATAAATCACTTGCTTCAAAAATAGACCTTGTAGAGAAGCCATGGAGCCAAGTTACTCCAAGCACACATCAACCCCTCAGTGTATATTTAATTTTAAACGTATGCTATGCAGAAGTTATTTTTGCAGGGGAAAAAAAAAAAAGCTATTAAGTTACTAAGTCTGTTTCTAGCTTGCATCGTAAATCAGAGGGGTTACCTCACTTGGGCTACATACAGAGCTTCATAGCTTTGACTTTAGGTGTGCAAAATTGGAAGTTTCTTCCTTGATTTATCACTTTGCAAGGTGATTAGAAATGTCATAAGACTCTGAGATACCTTCTGCTGTTAAAGATTTCAGATACAAAATAAGTATGCAAGTCTTGAGTAGAAGTCTAGACTTCTTATGCTTCACACGTTTAGTAGACAATGAATCTAGAGTTATGGCAGCTGAAAGTTTAATTCAGAGTTTGGCAAACAATAATAATCTCTAGAAAAAGCTATAAAAGCCTATCATGTTATTTTTATAATGAAATATGGTTTTTATTTCTAATTGCAACCTTATAATACACTGGCCCAAAACCATAGTATGATACATAAAGCAGTATCAACATGAAGATGTTTTTATAAGAAATAATATGGGACAAGAATTCTCAGAGAAATAAATATTTTCACCTGGCATACTCTCCTTTATCACCACACATTATTCTAACCACCGTAAGCTTGTGGCATTGGCTGAGGAATCATGAACAGACCTTTCCAAGCATTCTCACTCTGGTTTGTATATGCAGATTTGAATGATAACAGGCCATTTCAAAGACAGAATGAGCCATAACATTCTTAATTCACATAAAATTGATCTGTGTATTTTTTTCAAAGCCATATTTTGGATTGCTGTTATTCTGGATGAGAAGCTGTAAGACCAGAGAGAGGTTGGGATGAAAGCTACCCTGTGCTGTTTCACAACATGTCACTTTCTGAATTGCAGTACCCTTCCTATTAAAGATCCACACATAGACAGTGCCTCTCCGGTGTATCAGGCTGTGCTTAAAACTCAGAACAAGCCTGAAGATGAAACCGAAGACTGGAGTCGCCGTTCTGCCAATCTGCAGTCTAAGTCTTTCCGCATCCTGGCCCAGATGACTGGAACTGAGTACAGTAAGTCGAATAACAAAACATCCCCCTCATCCTGACTTTAGATTCGTGTCTTTATTTTCTTACTGCAACATTAGCAACTGATACTCGAGGAAGACTCATGTCCAGCTTGTAGTCATTGTCAGTGAGGCTAAGATCAGAGAACCCTGGATGTAATTTGAAGGAGCTGGGAAATCCAAGTGTTCAATCTCACCTTACGCTTTATGAAGAAAATTCTTTGATCTGCCAGGGGTCTCCCCATGAAAGTATAACAGACTATACAGTAAAAGAGCATTTGGGACCCCACAGCTCTTACTTACAAATCAAATCTCTGCAGTGTAGTCTTTCATTTTCCAGCAGCCTAGACATACAAAGCTGTCCATTCATTAGAAAAAAAGATAAACAACTTGTATCTCTTGGAACAGTCTTATGGAAGTGACTTCCAGAGGCCAAAAAAATCATGGATCACCATTGGTTTTGAACCTGTGGTTCTGTCAGCGCTGTTACCTAAACTTAGATCTGCTATGAATGTCATGGGAGCTTCAACTTTATTGCTTGTTGCCTATGGAAATGTTTTTCTGACCCCCTGTCACTAAACTCAGAGCTTGTTTCTGAGCTAGAGAGAAGGACGTTCGGGACCTTTCCCACATCAGGGGGAATCTGCTGCTGCCTCTCATGCTTTCCTACAAAACAGCAGGCCCTCTCTGTAGAAGCATTGCCTACAGCTGTGAAAAATTGCTAATAAATGAACAAGAAAGTGGTTGTAACAGCTACTTTCCTACTAGCAGCCTTTTTCCCAGCTCTAGGGAACTGCTCCTGTTCATGCTGTTCTTACAAAATCCACTTCTGCAAAGTCAGCATGAGTGCACCTTTAGACAGGCTTTTGATACATTTCTAAGGAACTTATAACTTCATCATAAAGCAAATTCCTTTTTTTTGTTCTTTCTTTTTTTAACTGAAACATTTTTTTGCCTGCAGTGCAAGATCCAGATGAGGAAGCCCTGAGGAGGTCAAGGTAGGCAACTCCCTGTGAAAAATATGGCTTTTTCCTTATTGATGACCAAAGAATGTTTTAAAACAGCATTAATATTGAATGTATATTATTATCTTTCTGTCTTAAAATATTCTAATACATCTACTTAAAAAATCACTAAAATGAAAGTTCTATCAGTGAGAGGCATTTGAATGAAAAGATTAACAAATTTGCATGTTTTTAGGAAAGGCACTGCAAAATTCCTGAAGTGTGTGTTCAAACCCGAAAGGTCTCTGCACACACAATTTTCAAGTACTTTACTGGATGTATGAATGCCATGAGCTCCTAAGACCAAGCCCTGTGTAACTACTTGATTGTGTAACTGGATGAAAATGTATAATGTTGTGATAGCACTGAAATCTGTGAGCAATTTATTTGGATGACCCTTGATTGATATTTGATTCTCCTGAAATGATCCAGGAAAGGAGTTGTTTCCATCCATATCAATAATCATTTGCTTCTGTTTTGTTTGGAATAAATACAACCAAAATTTGTAGAGTATGGAAGCACAGGACTGCTTTTGCTAGTGGATAAATGTATTTGTTTCATACGGTCTATCAAAAACACTGAAAAAGTGGATATGTTCAGAGATATAATAAGGACTTAAAGATTTATCATCATCTTATGTCTTCCCGTATAGCCAGGAAATAGGTTTATTAGAGATTCTTATGTTGAGCTTAAAATCTGCGGCTGAATTGGAGCATCCTGCATGCAAGCCTGATTTTCTGTTTGCATACTTCAAATCCCTATATCATGTTAGCTACTCGAAGCTGCTGGCTGGGTTTGTGATGTCTTGGATACTCAATCCACTTTCTCTTCTTTTTCTTTTCATTTTTTTTTGTTAACTGGCTTCTATAAATGTTCTGAGCTTTTGATCCCAGTGCAAGTTACAAATGTTGAATCAGTGAGAAAGATGTCTGTTATCTTCCCTGTGAAAATACAAGTAGACTTTCAGCTTATGTTCACTATAAACCTTCCATTGCGGTTCACCAAGATTCATGGCTAAGTGCCTGAACAGCAGGCTTGACATTACATCCCGCAGGGATTTATTTCTTCCCTCAAATGTGCAAGCCTAACTCTTATTAAATGTATTGTGCATTATCTGTTTTGACGTAATAGCACACATCCAAATCCTTATTACGATGGGATTTAAAGCGTTGTGCTGAACTTAACAGTCCCCCTGAACACATCTGAAAGTAATATGTTGTTTTAAAGAAATAATCTTTCTAGCTGTATTCTGTGGCTTTGGAAAATACTAAATATTGGAAACTTAACATGGTATCAGCTACATTGAAAATAATTATCTAGTAACACATCAACGTGTGTAAATTGCACGTTCTGTTCAGTGTAACTTATGTACATGACTACATCCACTGCACTTTGCGCATTTGCTGCAGTTTTGCGGTATCACATGTGTTATCCTTTTTTTCACAAGGACAATTATGGTTATTGTCTTGGTTTGAAAGACAGGTGTCT